GTGTATGTGTTTTAGAACGTGACTGACCGATTTTCTAGTTGCTCTAAAAATATACTATTGACTTTGTTATGGTTAAGTTGAACACTGAGAGGTAGCCTTGTTGTGTCTTTCTTACGTCCAGTCCATCACAGACAAATACATGCTCGTACTAGAGCATGGTCTGAGTCTAAATACGTGTTTTGGAATGAACGGTCGTCTTTTTCGAGCCTCTCCATCAGTGGTTGCTAGCAATGTGTTCTTTTTTGGTTCATAGTTGAGTCGATTTTGGGGTTCGTCATATCAAAAGTTGTGTTTCCTTATGCTTAAAGGCGGTTATATGAGCATAGTTGTAGCAGACGGTCGCCATGATCTGTTTGATCAGCCACAACACGATAAGATCCACCCTGCCCTTTTCGCTTGGTTTATCTACTTGAGCACGAAATTCACCAGCCACTATTACTACATCAGAGTGCATAGCTATGTGAAGAAGGTTGGGAAGCTTTTCGTAAGATTCATCCTTCACCTCATCTGAACTGCAATTGATGACGCCGCACACAGAGACAACGAAGCGGCAACCGATATGGTTCTTTATTTTGATAAGGTAAGGTCAGATGAATTACCATACGTGGATTCTGTATGCGCGTTTCAGAGACGCAGTATATATCAATGTAGCAAGATACTAAAGTATTAGCTAAGTAAACCAGTTTTCCTATCTGGCACAGGGTTCGGACATTAAAAACTACAACGTCCAGTTCGGAGTGTAGCTAGAGGAGACCAGGAAAAACATCTTGTGTACTTAAGTCGTTTGCATTACAGGCGCGAGGTGATAAACGAATGCAAGATTGGTCAGTCATGGAGACAAGAAAGTTATTTACAGGTGGGATGTGAAGGATTCGATTGTGAGCAAGTTGATCCCGTGTGCTTTTTAGGGGTATGCGGCTGGTCGTCACCTCCTGGTTGCACGCACCGTGAAAGTGTACCTGTCCCTGAAGGACCTAAAAAGGATGTTGGGTTAGTGTTAGCCTTATCGACCTAGGAGCGTGACCGTAAAGCTTAACGGACAACTACTTGAGTCCAATCACGCATAGCCTTTTTATGGGACGTTTTCGAAGTGCTAGCTCCACTTTGTGAAAGCCTTACCACGTGAGACGGAAATTCGTGAGTTAAGGCCGACTTTTTCTAAACCCTGTCTTCCGTTGTGAGAAGACAGTATTGCTGCAGATGCAGGTTGTAATGGGAAAACATTACTTTTGCCACTCGTAAAAACATTACGCTCCCTACACTCACAATTTTTAATCAGCTGATATACAGCCTAAATTTCTGTTCATAACATAATTTCAATCTCCGGTAACTATCTATCTGCTGAATGGCTCATCTTTCAATGACTTTTCATTCAATCAGAATTTTTAGTTCCTGAAAAATGGAACACTGATATCTAATCAACTGGGTTTTAAGGGTAATAAGGCCTTGATCATTATAATTATCCATTTCATTTGTTCAGTCATGAAATGTTACATCACAAATTTAAAATAAAAGAAATCGAATGTTCAGATTTACATATATTGATTGATTATGCTTTTCGCTACTTTTAGGTTCCACAGATACTTTTCATAGATGTTTTGTTATGATACATTCTCACTAGGTAACCTTGGTGAATTATTATCGTATCGACTATTCAGTTTAACTATTTTGAATGATACTGTTTATGGAGCCTTGTAAACTTTCAGCTTATTATTATTACCATTATTATTGGGCGATAAAAACTACAAGGTTACAAAATCTAATTTTTTTTAATATTATTCTTATTACATTAAGAAATTTTTGCTGCAAATGGTCGTATGAGGAACTAATAATTTATAAGATTGTAGAACTTTTTCGACTATCATTTTGGGCTTTGAACTTGAATGATTTTATATGATCTTACTGAACTTTAGATAATGAAGGCTTTGTTCTGTTTTCTACCTTGTTGACCGTTAGCTTCTGACCACAAGATCACCATTCACTTCAATTACTGAGTGAACTATACAAAACTTGGGAACAAACAAAATACTGTACTAGGGATTACTTACTAGTCATTTGACTCATCTGATAGGTAATCTAGTCATGAAACTAGGCCTCTGAATGTCAACCCAAACAAACCACTAAGAAGTTAACTATAAAGATCTGGAAATATCTACCAAATATTCAAGCAAGATTTTATACGTTATTTACTAGTAATTCCGTCAATAAAAAATATAACAATATCATATGGCCATGTTCAGTACTACTTCTGTAGTGTATTATTATACATCGAGCCCACATGGCTTGTTCAGGCCTTGGACAAACCAATAAATTCATTCTTCTCGAGTTATTCTCATCTTCTGACCCTGTCGATTCGCCTAAAATCTTGATCGTTTTTGATTGAGTATATCGCTTACTTGTCCTATTTTATCGGACTTGTAATAATCAATCATGCCTCATTGTATTGAGTTGGTCCACTCATTTTATCTTCGTGTCTGTCTACGTGAACGATTACACGAAATCAACTCATCCAGCTGAATCCGCATTTGGCTTCTTATTATCGCCATCGTACAAACGAGGTCCACCTAAGAATAATAAACGGAAATCAGATGATTTATCGCATATTCAATTATTCGCCCACATTGAAGTCAGATTTTGAGCTACTATAGATCAGTCACGTGATCACAGGTAAATTAAGTAGACGAGTCAATGAGAATGTAAGGACACGTGAATATATCAAAACCTGAGATGATTGGTCCAAAACAGTCATTAAAAAGAGGTAATTTTATGTTTTGGAAATAATTTCAAATGATAAGTTTTTATCAAATCAGGGCGTTGATGTTCAGAGAGACAATGAGATCTAGATAATCTGACAGCCCCTAGCTCAGAGAACTAAACATCATTAAAACTACCTTTAGTAAAGTCTAAATTCTAGTATATTTTCAATCGAATGAGTTTAAATGTGACCACCGCAATAATAAATCTTTGTCGTCTATTATTTGTTGTAAAGTAAGATGTAGATTTTACATTTTGTTTTGTGTAGGGATAATGGCTTACGAATAAAATCTTTAAATCCTGAAGATTTATCTGAGTTAAACATGAAACATTCTATAACCTACTAGTCATCGCATATTAAGATGCGATGTTAATCAAAATACCAAAAACAATATGAGAATATAGCTAATTACACACATCCAACTGTTTTCGCAATAGTTTGATTACAGAACAATATAGCTCGTCATAGAAAGGGAAAAACCATGAACTGATTTTATCGCAGAATGATCGCAATATTAATTTATAAACATCCTAAGTGAAACTATGTCGTGTACATGCTTCATTTTCGAAAAAAACGTAAACGGAGGAAAATCTTGCAAATGATAAGAATATTCGCTTTTGGCTAGTGACTGGTACTTTTTCTCACCACCCGTTTATCATTTAATATTTTAAGAATGAAGTGAATAGGACTTTCCAAACACGAAATCAAGATATCATAAAAACAGTATGGGTTTTCTGAATGATAAGGGAAAGTATTTGAAGCATGCATTTTGTTATGATCTTTTACACTAACAAATTCTCAAATAAGACGGGAGATCTGCTACTCTATGCTTGAAGGACGAACCAATACTAACCTGCGCCAACCAAACAGGAAAAGCAAATATCAATGACTACAAGTACAGGATTCGCTACTATATTTCAGACATTCCAGACCACATCGTATTAATAAATGGATATTAACAACTATATATGAAGGAGCCAAAGTTAGCTGTGAGTACTGGAGAGTGGAAATAATAAACTATCAACAAAATAGGAATAGTAAATCGTGTGATAATTTATGGGTTAACAGACAGCTTATGATAAAAGGAATGTATATATATATATATATATATATATAACTGCTAGTTCAGTCAATTAATATTATACAACTAGATTAGATAGATCAATTGTCCATAAATTGGTTGCCTTCATTTCTATTTACTTAAGCCTACACTGGATGCAACACACTTATGCACGGATCACCTATAAAATGCTGGTCAATGGAGAACGATTTGAGAAATACTCTATGTGAATTATCAACCGCTTGTCGTATATAGTAGCTCATATTGGAGGATAGGAAAGAAAATTCATGACAATAATCGTAAATAAGAAAATGGCTCAATGTATGCCTGAAAACCTAAGGATATGTCAATCTTCATTCTATATACTGAATTACCCTATATACTGCTGAGCTATCCAATCGTATTAAGATCACAGTGTGAATTCTAACTACATTTTCATGAACTGATAAAATGTTGGATCTCCTGAGCCATTTAGCGTTTGTTTCTGTCATGCTAGTTGTTTAATTTTATATTTGATTTTCTTACAGAATAATAGTGAAATTAACGGAATAACCACTTAACTCTAGTCAAACTAAACACTTATGAAGTGAACATTATAGTAGGAATTTTCTTGTAGAATTAACAGTGTTTCAACTGATGATAAGCGATTGTTCGTTAACAATACTTTGAGCTTTACAGCAAAACTACAGATGACAGGTTCTCAATAAAAAAATTCATTCACTGAAATTAATTTTATTAGATTGTAAAAAAGTAAGAACAGAAAAAAGTGACATAGTTTGCATCAAAATGTTTAGCAAAACTGCAAAAGATATATTGGGTCGATTCTCCAAACCAGCACCTGTAGAAAACTAACAATCTCGAAACAAAAAAGTATGAAGTGGGGAGGACGCAGTTTATGCGAACTTATCCATCCATGATAGTAGTACAAAATTTAAAAATATCTTTTTCTATTCTCAAATGTAGGAGGGATTACCAATATATAGTAAATGTAAATCTTTAGATTGTGCATTACTTGAAAATTAACAAAACAATAGATAGTTAAATAGACCGATAAGATCGACAAAAGTAACAACATAGTAGTAGTACATCTTAAAAATGATTGTCGAAAAATCTTTCCACATTTTACCAAGCAATTTTTAAAAAACATTTAAAAAAGCAGTAAGGAAATGAATAGTCAAGAAAAAATTACATGGGGCTGTAATATCCAACCTGGCGATGACATGACGGACAGAAATGTCTAGCACTTTTTATGGAATCCATACAGAACGGAATCAGGCAACAACCAAAGAACAAACTGGAATGAAAAAATGTTAACAGTCAACAATTAATGGTGATCTGAAGCTCTCTCTTGATAAGCACTAGGATTAGATCGATAGATTCCCGTTGACAATATGCTGCCACCCAAATTCCCTGGCAGTGCCGAGGGTGAGGATGATGCACTCTCCCTCTCGAAACGCTCTCGCATAACCACGCTGGAAGTTCGACTTAATGTCTTCTAATGGCACAGTGAATGCGCTGATCAGGTATCTAGACAGGAAAGTCATTTGCGCGACCGATAGATATTCGATGGTCGCACGTCGGATAACGGCGACCGTATACCGCAACTTAGCTCGTACTAAGACCTGTTTCTGGCTACCATTGACTAGTGGCACACTCGCCGCCTACGTACTAACTGGCATCCTTCTTCCTCAACTTGGACTCCGATTGATAGCAACGAAATCAGCTGCCGCTGGCGTGGTTGTGTAAAAGACCGCAGTTCTTTTTGGAATACTTAACTGTACTCAAGGTTAGTAGTGATTTGCGTTAATATAATCTAACGATTCGGTGGTGAACAGACTTACAATCCTAAGTCAGTCAGTCAGTTGCAACGTAGAACTTCGTACGTATTTACAAAAGTTCAGGTGGCCATACCACATTAGCACAGATGCAAATGTCAAATCAAATCCCATAGTGATAAAGATAGTAGAGGTATTAATGGTAATGACGAAGACTAGGGTTTGAAGATATTATTCAAGAAGTATAATTCAGTGACATAAGGTTAGAAAGACAAAGGTAGAGGTGCTGACGAATCCAGAAGATTAGGATTTGAGAGAGCACAATGAATGGATGCACTTGCGCCATTGCAAACGATTTTGAGCCATATCGTCCAAAATCTCTAACTTTGGTGACTAACGTCTCGCGGACCCCAACCAGGTAGTCTACATCTACCAACATCACTCACTCCACTAGTCAGTGACTTCATGGATTTCTGCCATGTTTTGGTCAAGCCGCTCCTAGCTTTCTTCCAACCTACTCCTACACCACAAAACATAGCTCGTCGAGGCAGTCGGTGGTTAGCCATACGTAACACATGTCCCAGCCACCTCAACTGATGAAGTTTCAATACTTCATCTATTGATCTGTCATCCTTACCTAGTACTCGTTTCCTAACTACAGCATTGGTTACTCGTTTGTCCCATGATATACGAGCAATGCTTCGGAGACATCTATGATCGAATACTAGTAACCTACGAACATCTACTCTTAACGACCATGTTTCACATCCATATAGGAGAACGGAGCGCACTGCTGCGCAGTACACTCGTCCTTTGGTAAGCGAACGGATATCACGCCTACGCCATAAGTGACGCAGGTTGGCAAAAGCCAATCGAGCTTTCTGCATCCGAGCTGAGATTTCGTACACCTTTCAATGACAGACACTGCCACAGAACCTCACGATCCACTGAGTCAAATGCCGCTTTTAGGTCCAGGAACACGGCTATTGTCGGACGTCTAAATGTGTGTCTGTGTTCCAGGACCTGTCGTAGTGTGAAGATGTGGTCTATACAACCACGTCCAGGTTGAAAACCAGCCTGGTTTTCTCTAGTCTGCTCTTCACGAGCTCTAGTTAGACGTCTAAGTATAATGGAGGCTAACAATTCAGAAACTGTATTAGTTAGACTGATTCCCCTGTGATTGTCACAAGAGGACTTTTATCCTTTCTTATAGATTGGGACAATTAGCGACTGAGGCCAGTCAGATGGGATTACGTCCAGTTCCCAGATTCTACCTAAGATCTCGGTCAGTCTAACTGTTAAAACTGGACCACCATCCTTAAACATCTCAGGGGTAAGCCTATCAGGACCTGCTGCTCTACTTCGCTTCAGATTTCCTATAGCTTTCTCAACTCCATGTAGACTAGGGGGACTTACGTCGATTTGCCATTCAGGATGACTGGAGATCGTGGGGAACCGAAGTGTGGCTCGAGGCCAGTTGAACTGGTCCCTAAAGTGTTCTGCCCGTCGGTCCAGTCTCCTGGATTGAGAATGGATAATAAGACCATCCTTTTCCGAAATAGTCTCACTCACATTCGGGTTTCTCATACCAGTTTCTTTGATAAGGCGGAAAAGTTGTCTACTGTTGCCGATCACCGCTGCCTTTTCCATCGCTTTTGCTTTCGCCACCCACCACTGTTCGCGGTCGTTATGTAGGCTTTTTATGAGTCTGCGCCTAAGCTGACTACGCTCTTGATCATGTTCAGAGCCAGGTGGGATGCGTTTTCGAGCATCCATCAGTTCGGTGGATGCGACTGAAATCCACTGCTTCATTGTAGCCTTATGGTTTACCCTGCTAGCAGATGTCACTGCTGTTTACACAGCCTTCTTGATATCATTCCCACCTGAGTCCGGATGGGAATCACTTGCATGGTCGCCTAACTGTTTTTCTAGTTCCTCTTGAAATATTTTCTTAGCTTGATTATCATCAAGTAAAGCCCTAAGAGGCTTCCTTACGGTGTCTTTCCTACGCCCAGTAAGCCTCAAACAAATACGAGCTCGCACTAGGGCATGATCTGAATCTACGCATGTGCTCCAGAACGAGCGACAGTCCTCTATCGAACCCCTCCATCGGTGGCTGGTGGTGATGTGATCTAGTTGCGACTAGTTGAGACGACTTCGGGGGTCGCCAGGTCAAAAGATGTTTCTCCTTATGCCTAAAATTAGTGTTTGCTAGAAGTAGGCGGTTATCTGAGCACAATTGCAACAGACGGTCGCCATTGTCTGTTCGATCGGCAGCGACACAATAAGATCCACCAGGGTGTCTCTCCTGCTAACTTAGTCTAACTACTTGAGCATTGAAGTCACCAGCCATTATAACTATATCAGAGGAGGTTCGAAAGCTTTCAGTAAAACTCATTTCTCATACCGTCTGGACTGCAGTCAGTGGGAGCATAAGCAGATATGACGAAGAGGCAACGACGTGTCCCTATCCTTTCGAATCCTTACTGTCCCATTTAGTCGGACGGCGCACAAACGACTATCTACAGGGATCCATTCAAGGAGAGGTTGTTCTGCCCTACGACTCAATACTATACCTACACCAGCGAGACCCCGGGAAGCAGCATCAGGGCTACCGGATACACGAAGGGTAAATCGAGCTGCTTCTTTATCTTGACATGGTGAGGTCAAGTGAATGATGCTACTCGGATCCTGTATGCGCGTTTCCGAGACGCAGCACACATCGACGGCACGAGATTCTAAAGTCCTAGCTAATCATGCCTGTTACCCTATTTGACATAATGTACGTACATTAAATGCTCCAACATGTAGTTTAGAACGGGGTTTAAGGAGACCGGGAACGACGTTTCGCGAACTCGTATCGTTTGCATTAGCTGTGCACTGTGATAAATTCATTTTATGCATTACTTAATTCATTATACACACTCTACTTTCTCTGTCTCTTCGCGATCTCATTTTCTTAGTGTCGGACATATATATTTTAATGTCCGTTTTACCGATATTTATAACTAATTAAATGAATAACTTGTGTTTAAGCTGATTCAAAAACTATAAATTAGTATAAACTAAAAAAATTTAGTGGCTAGAATAATTTGAACTATATGATACTATGCAATCAACTTTATTGAATGATTATATCAGGTTAACTTCAAACTGATAAAAAGACTTAGCGATAACTCAAGAATAGTGATAATTAGTGAGAGTGTAATAAACTAGAGTACTGATAACAAACAATAGTCATTAAGTCTACAATCTTATTTAGGAAACTGATTGGTTGGTAAGTAAGCTCTCTACTCGAACACTACAGGTCGAGTGAGAGCTTACGGCGAACTGTCATCGGAATTCTTCATTTTAAGTGGTGTCCGTCAGGGATGTCCACTCTCTCCATTCCCGTTTAACTTTGCCGAAGACATGCTTTTAGAGTTAGCATTATCTTCATCTGACGTTTCAGGAGTGGACCTTCTACTAGGAGACATGCTTACTGACTTAGAGTATGCCGATGATATAGTCCTATTCGGTGAAGACTCTGACAAAATGCAGTCTTCTGACTACCCTGAGCAACAATGCAAACATGTTCGGGATAGGGTTTCCCCCCTCGAAATGCAAAATGTTACTCCAAGATTGGGTCGCATCGGCTCCTGAACTAGTGATAGGAAGTGAAGCAGTTGAGCGTGCAGACCGCTTCACTTATCTTGGGAGTCTGATCAGTGCTGATGACGTGGTGACTGACGAAATCTCAGCACGGATACAGAAGGCTCGATTGGCTTTTGCCAATCAGAGGTGAGATAATGTTAGAAAGACAAAGGTAGATGTGCTGACGAATCCAGAAGATTAGGATTTTAGAGAGCACAACGAATGGATGCACATGCGCCATTGCAAACGATTTTGAGCCATATCATCCAAGATCTCTAACTATTGGTGACTTTCGTCTCGCGGGACCCCAACCACCTAGCCTAATCTTCTTCATTACTGCTAATACTTCTACTACTACTACTACTGTTACCACTAATGGATGTGAACTGACAGTTGCGTCTCTGTGCTGATGGGGTATGGCAACTTGAACTTTTGTACATTCGTACGAAGTTCTACGTTGTAACTGAATGAATGAACTAGTCAAAGAATACAACTGGTAGTTTTCTAGTTTTTGGGCCGATAGAACATTCGACAGCTTAACAGTTGGTTGTAACTGTTGAGAGATCAAATGAATCCAGTCAATAAAATGACCCTAAAAGGCTTACAGAATATAATATCTATAATGAAATGGGGTCAACCTAAACGAAAATTTCACCTTTCAGTCTGCTTTTGTTTGGATAAAATAGGAGGTAGAATAAACTTACCCAAAGAAACACATAATTCCACATAATAACCACGGTAAGTATCCGGATTCTAACTGAACTCTTGTCATGCCAAAGTTATGGCAATAAGGACAAGTTATGCCAACAGGAGATCGGTGGTATGCAATTGCGATTACTGTCGGTTGATTAACAACCACTGTGGCTAAAGTGAGTAGAACAGATGGTAATTAGATTAGTATGAAAAAATAATACAGTTAATAGTAGCACTCATTTATGTTGCCTTGATTATTATGGTGAATTTCAAGCAAAATACGGAAGGTATAATTTGACTGTCCATCATGATAAACTCAAATATACTTTACCTATTTATTTATTTATTTATTTATTATCTATCTCTATTTATTTATTTGTGTATGCCGCTTTCGTGAGTGAAATTCTTTGTCAGCTATAAACGTGTAAATAATTCACTTCTCTCATCATAAGTGATTTATTTGCACTTCTTGGACAAAATTACTGTACAATACACTTTACATTCTTTAAGAGTAAGAAAACCAAAAATGTGTATTTACACCTATGTGACAAATGTTTGGCAACGTTATACATTACCTTTAACCACTAATGCAACTATAGTAAGGATTATTGTTGGGAAGTTCTCAGGTGCTGATCATATCACTGGTTAAATACAAAAGAGGATATGTCATATTTTTAAGCATACTGTAACCTAATAATACGCTCTATGATGCTAGCTCACAGTAATATTAACTGAATTAAGCAATTATAGCATTTAAAACTTTGCATATAAAATGTCGCAGGTTTGAATGGATCAATTTGCATAGCAGTTTGCATTATGTAATATGTTTCGCGAAATTATATTTTTGTTCGAATGTTTCAAAAAGCATTTTATTTGGAATCTTAAAATACATATGAATTATAGTGATGAAAAGTAAATAAAAACTTATTACTTTCATCTAGAATAAAACATTTTCAACAGTAAAAGCGGAGGGTTTATTTTTCTTCCACTCAGAATTACAACTAAGTTACTTAAAAAGCATGACGAACGAAATCTAGAACAGCTACAGAAACCCTATGGATGTATGCAGTAATCAAACTTCTTAGAAAAGCTTTACCTCTATAATGAGTTATACATTATTTTTGTCAAGATTACAGGTGAAGGATGAATCTTACGAAAAGCTTCCCAACCTTCTTCACATAGCTATGCACTCTGATGTAGTAATAGTGGCTGGTGAATTTCGTGCTCAAGTAGATAAACCAAGCGAAAAGGGCAGGGTGGATCTTATCGTGTTGTGGCTGATCAAACAGATCATGGCGACCGTCTGCTACAACTATGCTCATATAACCGCCTTTAAGCATAAGGAAACACAACTTTTGATATGACGAACCCCAAAATCGACTCAACTATGAACCAAAAAAGAACACATTGCTAGCAACCACTGATGGAGAGGCTCGAAAAAGACGACCGTTCATTCCAAAACACGTATTTAGACTCAGACCATGCTCTAGTACGAGCATGTATTTGTCTGTGATGGACTGGACGTAAGAAAGACACAACAAGGCTACCTCTCAGTGTTCAACTTAACCATAACAAAGTCAATAGTATATTTTTAGAGCAACTAGAAAATCGGTCAGTCACGTTCTAAAACACATACACTTTTCCATATATTGCTCATCCTCATGGCGACGTTCGACTCTGTTGATCGTGAGGTTCTCTTGCAGTGTCTGCAATCGAAAGGTCTACCAAAGAAGTACATTAACCCCGTACATGCTCTTCACTGGAACACTACTGATCCAGTCAGAGCTTATGACGAACTGTCATCGGAATCGATTACTTCAAGTGATGTTCGCCATGGTCGTCCACATTCTCCATTCTCATTCAACTTTGTCACGAACATGCTTTCAGAGACGACAAATTTCATCGTCCGACTTTACGGCAGTTGACCTTTTACCAGGCAATCCACTTGTCGGCTCAGTTCTGTTTGGTGTAGACAGTGACGAAATGCAGCGTCTTCTGACCACATTAGGCCACAAGGTAAGTATGTTTTGGATGCAATTCTACCTCTCCAAATGCAAAGTGTTGCTTCAGGATTGGGTTACTTTGGCACCTGAACTAGTGATGGGGAGTGAAGTAGTTGATCGAGCTGAAAGTTTTAGTTATCTCAGCAGTCTGGTCAGTTCTGATGACCTGGTGTGTGACGAAATCTCAGCACGGAAATAGAAGGCTTGACTAGTATTGGCAAACCAGCGTCATCTATGACGTAGGCGAGATACCCATTCGCCAACCAAAGGATGAGTCTACTATGCAGCAGTTTGCTCCGTTCTACTTAACTGATGTGAAACATGGCCATTAAGAATAGAGGATATTCACAAGGTACTAGTATTCAATCGCAGATGTGTTCAGAACATCGCTCGTGTAAACTGGAACCAGCCAGTGACTAAGCAATGCTGTGGTTAGAAATATGGTGCTAGTTGAGGATGGCAAAACGACTGATGAGGTAATGAATCGTCGCAATTTGAGGTGGTTTGGACATGTGTTCCGCATGCCCAATCACTGACTACCTTGACTGACGATGCGGTATATATTATATTGTAGTTTTGTATACGTGATCCAAATTAAAACTCAGGTGACTCTCAATCCAATAGTCTTGATAATACTGGTCGACATTCAGTCAGCCGGTCTATAACCTGGGATAAGTGCGTATTGGTTCTAGATGTCATATCTCACAGCACAGAAAGAGACAATATGGGAAAGCGAAAGGTAGTGGAGGGTAAACTATGTTACATGGGGTGGGAAAATAAGTGAAGACAACTAGTTCGAACGAGTCAAACTAAATCGTATAATGAAAGGTATGCAGTTATAGGATTAATACCTCGAGGACGATAGGAAATGTTGTCTTGTTTACACTAACCTACTACCACGTGCTTAAGTTTTCAATCGGAATTACAATTTTCTGCTCCACGTCTACTGTTCCTTCTATAACATAGCGTCCTAGGCTTGACCGCCTATACGTTTGACTACTACCGTTGACCATGAGGCGATACAAGTAAGCTCTGCTACTCGAAATTTTCTTTATTTGTGCCCTATCTTGAGTTCGGAAAGTTAGCAGCTAGCTGTTGTTATTATCATATTTCGAGTACGTCGGTTTGTATGACAATACTGTACTTCATCGCACCATAAAATGAAAAATAGCAATCATGCATAAATGAGCCAAAGTGATTTCGAGTAGGGCTAGCCAGCTGTGAATACTCGATGGGCGGTAAAATAGGAATAAACAGTACAGTAATGGTTAACCGCCTAAACGGAAGCTCAAGATTAATGCTATCGTAATGCAGCTACTTAGTACTCACACAACAAAAGTAAAAATAATAATAATGATCTGGAAACCAGTGCCAAATTATAATATCCGTACCATTATAACAGGACGTAAATACGATTGCGTCACTATGACCAATTATGGGACGTATCCTGCATCTCTGGACATATTACGATTTTCTTATGACTCCAAATCTGGGAACTAGTAGCTATCAGCGAGGCTTAGACTTATAGCCGATAATATCATCCACTGACCGCAAACCTTAATTTATAGGTCCTTATTATAGCGCAAACTCAACCATCTCGGTTGGCGAAGATTCAAAGACTCGCAATCAGTTCATCGCTACTTAGAGCATCCAAACACACTTTTTACTCGGCTGTCCAACGACACACCTAATTTGAAGTCCTTAACTAAATAATACTAACCAACATATATTTTATGCTTCCAAAGGTCGTGTCCCTGTCAAAAGGTAGAGCGAAGAGGATTATTTTGCAGTACACCTGACTTTTGATAAGTATCTTTCCTGAGTCAGTCAGTAAGCGACAACCTAGAACTTCGTACGTACGTACATACATCGGTTCAAGTTGCCATATCACATTGGCACAGAGACGAAATGGTCAGTTTAATTCACATTGTAGTATGAAGTGATACTTGAAGTGGTACTTCTCAAGTTAATTGTAATCTATGGTTAACGTATTATGCGGTCGCTTAAAGTTGGTTGTGAGCGTCCATATGTATTCATTCATTATTTTACCCAAGTCTTACATTTACTAATTCTTTTTACCTTATTATTTTTACCTACGTGTGTAATTAGGATTTGTGCTAATGGATATTTTTGCTGCCGAACGTAGCTGCTACCTTAACGTGGTGGTCGGGCTTGACTATTGTGATGACCCAACCGAGCTATATTGGCTGGAACATATGTTCCTGAAGGTTCTACCATGCCAGGTAGGTCGATTGGAGAACGATGAGACTAAAAACAGCTACTCAAGGTCTGAGGGCGATGTCGTACTGCTGACTGCAGAGGGGTGTGACAGCAGTAAGGTGCTTCCCTCGGACAACCAGCATCTACAGCGATGCTGCCTCCTTACAAGGAAGGAAGGGTTAGAAAAGATCGACCCTAAAAATGTCACACCCCACTCTACCTCACGGATTTCCGTCTCCGTCGGTAAGGGTGCCCAATAAAGGCTTTCACGAGAGGAGCTAATACTCAAAAAACCCTTCATAAACAGGCCGTGCGTGACCGGCCTCAAGCAGTTGTCCCTTGGACTCTGCGGTGAAGCACCCAGGTCTCTAAGACCAACTCCTTTTTCAGGTTCCTCAAGAAACAGCCTTGCACGGTGTGGGCAGCCAGGAAGTGACAACCGCCCTCATACCCGTAACAACACACGAGACCAAATTGGTCAAAATCAAACCCTTCCTACACCCCCTAATACCTCTCGGTGACGACAGTCAACGATGGTTAGAGACGTTGAATGACATGGCTCAGAATCGTTTGCAATTGCGCAGATGCATCCACTCTTTGTGTTTTATGAAATACTAAGGTTCGGTATTCCTCATAATCTCTACCTTTCTCCTGCTAAATTTCTTACTGAATTATACTTCTGGAATCATATCTTGGCTCCCTAATCTTCTCCATTACTGCTGATACTTCTATTATTGTTATCCCTGTTGGATTTGAACTGACAGTTGCGTCTGTGTGCTGATGGGGCATGGCAACCTGAACTGATATACTTATGTACGAAGTTCTGCGTTGTGTCTGTCTGTCAATAGGAACTCGCTCGTCCTGGTTATGGTTTTTTCGCTTTCCAGTTGAAAGAGGTTGGTATGGTAGGACCCTACTAAACAATCAATCCAGCCTTTTTGGGTTGCCATCTGCAGGATCAACCGCTGGATTAAGGAAGCGAATGTGCTTGAGAGATACCTGTGAAAGTGCGTTTAAAACTTCATTATTCCCAAAATGGTGATAAACAAAAGATCTATGGAATTCGCCAACCTATGGGACTAGAAAATTAGAATGTATAGACGATACAAAAGAAGCAATCAAATGAACAAAAAGTAATACTTGCTTGGAGGTGCACCATATGTGGGGGCATTTGCAGGTTGATAGCCTGATCCAATAAATCCAATGTTTGGTGGCTGGTTAGTTTGTGGATACGATGGATACGAGTATGGAGCCTGTGTTGGATAGGGAGCGGTTGGAGGGTAATATGGAGGTGGAGCTGAGAAAAATAAATATATCTAAATGAACATCACGAAAAATGAGAGCACGTATTTATTTTCATTCGTTACGTAGACCGGTAATACTTCTCACGGTAAACAGTCCTCACAACTAATTGAATCAGTACTTTGTGTTATTTGTGATTTCAGTAAAGACTTCCCTCTGTGGACGCGTAATTCGTATTGTACTTTGGACGAACATTTGTTACATTTAAGCACCCACTTAAAACTGTGAAGCAGAACCCAACGTTACTAGTCAAACCACTTGCACACTCAACTTATTTCAATCCGGTCGTCTAAGTACCACTAAAATCACCAACAAGAACTGAGATTCAGAGCCAAGTTCACAAATGTGCAACTGGTTCTAGGTGATGTCAGGCTCATTAAAATTTTCTATGAAATGACTAGTCTTTAGATTATTCTGTCAGTCGGATCTGAAGTGTGTTATATCAAATCACCAATAAGACTCTCTACTGGTAAGTACTTTCCCACTTCAATTTAATAAAGATAACAGAAGCGCTCAAATTAGTAGAAACTAGTTATTTCGATGTTTTCAGGTGTAGTCCCAGAACAAACCGAACTTGTTAGGGACAGAATTCTGTGATATTTTGTACTCCATATTTCAAAAATTTGTATACTGTTACTACTTTAGAGAAAATTATTAATGCGTGAATCATATATGAATCCGCTAACCAGTTAAGCCAACTCGACGATCATCTTCACAACAGTGAGCAACGTGGAAAAACAAAATTTCTCCTCTCAACAAACAACCCAAAACGAAAAGGAGGAGGAAAAAAAAAAGAGAGGAGTTTTCCCAACGGTTGCTCCCCCAAACTGGGTGTGTGGGAAAAAAAAGAAGAATGGGAATCAGTCCCCCCCCCCCGAGTTTTTTTTTGGGCTTTTAAACTGGGTTTTTTTTGTTTTTTTTGTTTTAGCCCGGGGGGGAATTTTTATATATTGATTTTTCCCCCCCACGCAAATTAAAATAAATTTTTTTTTTTTTTTTCTCTAAAAGTTAAAAAAGTTTAACACCAAAGTTAACAAGTATTAACCAAAAAAAAAAAATTGTTTGGGGAACAATTATTGGAGTTAACAAAAAAAAAAAAAATAATCCACGCAGGGAATTTTTTCCTGGTTCCCCTAAACAAGTTTTTTCGGTTTGTTTTCTGGGGACTTACACCCTTGAAAAAAAACATCGAAATAAACCTAGTTTTTTTTCTACTAAAATTTGAAGGCGCTTTCTGGTTAATTCTCTTTTTTTATTAAAAATTTTTGAAGTGTGGGAAAAGTACTTACCAGTAGAGGAGTCGTTTTAATTGGTGAATTTGATAAATTAAAACCCAACACTTCAGGAGATCCGGGGGACTGACCAGAAAATTAATCTAAAAGGGGGGGGGGGACTAGGTCATTTTTTCAATTAGGGGGGAAAAAATTGTTTTTTGAAAGGGGCCCTGGGGGGAACCATTCAACCTAGAAAAACCCAGTTGGCAAACAATTTGGTGGAAACCTTTGCTCTGACAATTCTCAAGTTCTTGTTTGGTGTGATTTTTAAGTTGGTTTTTTACTTAGGGACGGGACGGGGGACCGGAATTTGAAAAATAAGTTTATGTTTGAAGTGTGCAAAAGTGGGGTTTGGGGGACTAGTAAAACCGGTTGGGTTTTCTGGCTTTTCCACAGTTTTAAGTGGGGTGCTTTAAAATTGTAAACAACAAAATTGTTCGTCCCAAAAGTAAACAATTACGGAAAATTTAACGCGGTCCCCACCAGAAGGGGGAAGTCTTTTTACTTGGAAAAATCCACACAATAAAAATAACCACAAAGTTACTGATTCAATTAGTTGTGAGGACTGTTTACCGTGAGAAGTATTACCGGTCTACGTAACGAATGAAAATAAATACGTGCTCTCATTTTTCGTGATGTTCATTTAGATATATTTATTTTTCTCAGCTCCACCTCCATATTACCCTCCAACCGCTCCCTATCCAACACAGGCTCCATACTCGTATCCATCGTATCCACAAACTAACCAGCCACCAAACATTGGATTTATTGGATCAGGCTATCAACCTGCAAATGCCCCCACATATGGTGCACCTCCAAGCAAGTATTACTTTTTGTTCATTTGATTGCTTCTTTTGTATCGTCTATACATTCTAATTTTCTAGTCCCATAGGTTGGCGAATTCCATAGATCTTTTGTTTATCACCATTTTGGGAATAATGAAGTTTTAAACGCACTTTCACAGGTATCTCTCAAGCACATTCGCTTCCTTAATCCAGCGGTTGATCCTGCAGATGGCAACCCAAAAAGGCTGGATTGATTGTTTAGTAGGGTCCTACCATACCAACCTCTTTCAACTGGAAAGCGAAAAAACCATAACCAGGACGAGCGAGTTCCTATTGACAGACAGACACAACGCAGAACTTCGTACATAAGTATATCAGTTCAGGTTGCCATGCCCCATCAGCACACAGACGCAACTGTCAGTTCAAATCCAACAGGGATAACAATAATAGAAGTATCAGCAGTAATGGAGAAGATTAGGGAGCCAA